TAAATACAATAAATGGTAATACCATTATACTGTTTTCTAATAAAAGCAAGACTGGGAACAATAAAAATAGTAAAAAGCATATGAGCTAGTCTTGCTGCAAAAAACCCTTTCTGAATTGGATAACTTCAAAAATGACCTTGGAAAATAGAAATCAAATGATCCGTAACATTTTTTCCCTATTACCCCATCTCAAATCATGAGAATTTCAGCTGCTCTTCAGCTAGAAGTCTAGACTTTGTTTCCTGAAAGAAAAACCAAACAAGATGAAGAATGGTATGATAAAGATTCGCATTCAGGGAAGCAGATAAAATAAGTGTCATGGTTTTTAACACTTAGGTTTACCAACTGTAGAACCCAGCCTAAAGGCTCTTAAGAATTTTGTCTCTCAGTCTTCTCAACATGGATATCAAAAATACCTAGCAAGCCCTGGCCTCACGTGTGACACTTAGGCAACCCTGTGCTTTTAAGCCATCAGAACATCCATTGAAGAGCTGGATGCAGAACTGTGGCAACAGCTCACTGCCTACCAACTGTATCAAGAAAGATTTCTGAAGCACTGTAACACAGCAAGAGGTAAACACCCTTCAAAATCCTCCTTTCACTTCCCAAGCCAAATGATCCCAATGCCTTCTACCCCTAAATGGTTAAATTCATAGGGATAGGTGAAAGAAATTCCCTTGAAAAGCACACCATAGTTGTGCAGGTCTGTTTTAGGAAATAGGGGTAAGCTGTATATTACAAAACCAAATCAACTTTTTAGGCTTTTCCGTATTATTTTTATCCCTGGTTGCTCACTGACACTTTTCCCAGAAGTTTCACGGGTATCGTGATCTAATGCAACAGTAGAAACACACAATTCTGCATCTTTCTCACTTCTGAAGAATCATTAAATCAGGAGTCTGGAGAAACAGTCCCCAAAGATAATATTTAAAAAATAGGTGGTGGCTCTTAGCTGTTCAGCAACTTATAGATTTATTTCTGGAAGCCCATACTAAGTTACTGAACTTGAAAATACATCCAAAAAGCGAGCATCTGGTTTCCATCTGACCTCCTGGGAACCAGGAAAGGGCTTTAACTGAAAATAAAATATTGGGGTGCAAAAGAGCAAGATCTCAGGGCAGGAGGGATGCATGCAAAAAGAATTTCCTAAGGGAGAGGAAAAAACAACATAAAGCCCCAAACTAGAACAAAAACAACAATAAAAAACCCTCAGCCCACTATCAAGAGGCTAAAAATCACAGGTTATGTAAAAGAAAAACAAACCCTGTATTTTTGGGCTATATCTAATATTAAAAATGCCAAAACATGCCAAAATTTGAATATTATTTCACAATTTAAGAAAATAGAACCTTCATACTAAACAGTGAGACTTGTTTACAGGACTAATTTTAAGCGACATATACCTGGAAATACTTGCCAACACATGTATTAGGCACCTACTACATCTATTTTATCTATTTGTAGTTAAGCAATCTCCAAGCAAGGTGGACTTGCAATTGTGACAGCTGCAGTTCTTTCAGGGGCAGAGAACAATTCCATATTTAAAAAACCACGCTGTAACACTGCCTTACACGGGGAAAAAAGGGAGATTTTATTCTCCCTTCAAATATTTTGCAAACATTCTTTAAAAGTTACAAAACATCTAAACTGGTTTTCCACAAGAGGTACATACATATCCACCTCCATAAATATTCTGCTTACAACCTGTAAATAAAGTTTTTGAAGACATTACTTTCAATATCCCTTCCAAACTCCCAGGAAAGCAGTTACTTGCCCCTTATTTTGTTTCTCTTAACTCTATTTTTTCCAGTTTGTACATAAAGAATAGAGGAAGTCAAGTGAAAGCCTGACCAGAGCTACAAAAGCTTATCAAGTTAAAATATTTATAATAAGGAAGCTGATCATGAAGAATTGCCTCTTTTTTGCCATGTAGATTTACAAAGTTTCTTTCATATCTTTTAAGAGGCAAGCTGTTGCCATGCCCTGGCCACTATGCCAACTGGGATGCTGGAGCCCATCAACCTCAAATGGGACCTACTCAGGTTCAACACCTTACTAATCCCTAGGATGTACCACTGCTTTCCTACCAACTATCAACTTTGATCCTCACAACACACACACAAAATCCTAAAAAGCCTTTTTTCAAATAACTACTGACTGTTTTGGTTAATCCCTCCCCAGCAAACAGCAAAGCCAGACATTTCTCTTGACATGCCATGAGGCTAATGGCATACACAGTATTTTTAACCCATATTATCTTCACATTATACTTAAGTCTATATTAATTTTCTACATATTCCACATTAATATGTGGCAAATTGCAACTGATAAAGATTAAAGCAGGCATCTGCAGATGGCTGCACAGTACTTCTACCATTTGTCATGAATAAAGGTTACCCTGTGTTACCACTAAACATGTACCAGATTGAACTTAAAAACTACATTCTGGTTCCCCTGACTGATTAAACTGAGTTCTTTTACATCTTTCATAAAATGCCACATGGACATGCTCACAGTGCGAAAGCCATTAGCTCAAGCCATAAGGCCCTTCCAATTTTCTTGGACCTCTAGATAACATCGCTAATGAACTGACCATTGTATTCCCTTAAAGCAGCAGCAAATTCAGCAGTGTCTAAGAATATATATATTCTTTCAAGACTAACTTCAACATCCTTACATTGTAGTTCAAACTATCAGCAGTCCATGTGGAAATAGATAAAAGCTCAGAAAACTGTAAAAATCCCTAAAGATCATTAAAAGCAGTGAAACCCATGTAAGATATGCCTTAGATTTTCATACCTATGGCATCAACTCATAATTTGAAGGCCAACGCTGTTTCACATTGACAGCATCTCTAATCTTGCATATGAACAATAACAGCCAAATATTTTAGTTTGGATTTGTTTTGGGAGAAGAGGCAGGAACAGAAGAACATAATTAAAGAGGTCCCTCAATATTAAAATGGTTTATCTTGCCACCCTGTTTATACTCTCGAGTCATCCTTCCCATGGGCAGCCAGCTTCTGCAATTGGCATGAGCCAGTCTGACTCCAAGAAGCACTTTCTTCCAGGCTATAAAGAACAAATAACTAGTCAAAGCAAATCTCCTGCTCAAGAGCAATCTGCGCAAGAAAGTTTTCACAGGCAGAGGAGCTGGGAGAGCACTGTCCACAGCTTCGGTTTCATGGGATCCAGACAGAATTCAGAACAGCTGAGACAATGGGACTGCAGACTGACAGAGCTGCAAGAGAGGACATCTGTCCCACCCCCAGATGCTATTTCTTTGATCTCTGCTAGTCTGATCCTGACTTAGCCCTCAGCTGTCAGGTAGCAGACGCTGGTGAGTCAGATGCTGCACTGGGCAGGAAGGGTGAGAACAGGAAGGGACCAGGCTAACTCATGATTAATTCTATTTTCAAGCCACTCATCCCTGCACTCAACCAGAAGCAGCCTCAGACAAGTTATTGCCTGACTGAGACACACCTGCTATTCCTTTCCTTATATCTGATATTAACCCTGCCCATCAATCTGTGGTGACAGGAGAAAGTGGGCCAAACCCCCGCACTCCCAGCTGCCTGCTGGAGTGATTCAGTGGGCTCCTGGAAAGTGCATTTCTAAACGACTTGCTTGCCTCATCAAGAGACACAAGTGACACACTAGATACTATGCGTACATGATCCGGTATAATAACTTTTTCATCAAGAAACTTTTAATGCCACCTTTACAAGTTTCACTCAAGAAGATGCCCTAGGCATGAACCACACCACAAGATGATCCTTTCCTCGGAGACTAAACAAAGGGAATCCCTTATTAAGGCCAGCTAAGTATCAAAGGACAACAGGAAAAACAAGAATCAACAAGTAGGGCTGAACTGTAGCCTCTTAGAGAAAAAAAGCACTCGCATAACTGTTCAACTGCACATCACTTAGGACTGAGAACAAGCACCACCACCCTGGAGAGCTGGGTGTTTGTCAGACCTACAACCATGTTACCTCTTTAACCCTTGTACCAATGAAGTGTCAGAAAGAGATGGCCCTTTCATTAAACACAGAATTATTTACCAGGAGATAAAGTAACTGGTGAAGAAACACTGTTATAGTCAACCAGTACTCATGGAGGAACTTTGCACTGCTGAAGGCAGGCACAAACCGCAATCACAGGGTGCAAGTGCTGTTGTTTTCTTTGATAACAAGAAAAGATGGTTCTCATTATGTGATAGCTTCAGAGGCCATTACTCCTCCAGGATGCTCACTCACTTCATTAAGTAAAAATAGCAGTCTTCGAGTAAAAGCCAATAGTTAGCTCTGGGAGACTCTTGAGAGCTTGAAGGAATTTCTTGCTTGCACTGCTGCTCTTCCTGCTTCAGTTCCAATAACCCACACATGAGCATCCCGTCCTTCTTCCAACCCCTCCCAAAACATAATCCCAGGCTAACAGAGGTACGCTGATATTCAATAAACTGTAAATTTCAGGAATGAAGCTGGACCAGGCTGTAACTGCTGTAGTAGACACTGTAATTAGCAAACGAAGGCTGCTACTTTGTGAAACAGTAGTATTGCTTTGGAAACGTCTCTTCATGACTCTTAAACTGCAGTATTCTAATCCATGTGACTCAGGGGTTAACTGTCCAAATTCATCATTCTATTTGCCAGTAAAGGAGACGATGGAGCACTTGACCCAAAAAAAGAAGTGCCCCATGTCAGTCAGGGGAAGGGGAGGGAAAAAGATAAGATCTGTTTTTAATTAAATAAGTGTTAATAAAACTGAAGCTCAAAAGGAAATGGAACTCGACTGCATTGACAGAAGGTTGAAAAATGTATTTTTCAACTCACATGTTTTCTAAAATGAAATAAATCAAGACACATTTCAAGCTACAGAACCATATCCTTCAATTGCATTTAACTCCATGCACTTAGCCAAATCACTTACATGGTTTTATCCTCCAAACAACTGTTAAAAAGATTATTAATTCTCTTTTTTTTTTTTTAACAGGTATCTTACCTTTGCAGAGTCATGTTCAAATTGCCTGTACATGCCTTGATCTTGTTTTGTGCTTCTAGATGAGTCATCCCGTCTGTGCTTATCCCATCAATGGTGAGAACTACATCACCTATCCCCACGTGCGCTCGGGCTGCCTTGCCACCATCATTAAGCTGAAATATCATAAGAACAGTAAATGAGAAAGTTGGATAGTTTATGTCTGTGTCCTCTGAACACAGGACCACAGTATCTTATTCACAGTACTCTTCCATGGGGGGGGGGGAGTTCTCTTTTCTCCTTTGTGAGTATGTCCCTGTGACAGTTGCTGCACTATCTGTCTTTCCAGACAGGCACTTGAATGACAGGAGAAGTACTGCACAGCATTGCCTGATTTTCAAAATCAGCCACCACTCCTACTGGAAGGTGTGTGCACATTCACCAAAAGAAGCAAGCAGAAATAGGCACACAGAGTTTCTTGGATGCCAAGTTCCAGCCTCTGATCTCTTCATATATGAAACTTTGATCACAAGAGGAGAGTTGAAGACTTTCCCCATTTCAGATTTTCCATATATACAACCCCTTCAAATTTCATTTATTTGTCAATGACTGGTTATGTGCACAGATGACTTCACTAATAGTGAAGCTGACTTTTCCCCAGCAGCAACTATTAGAAAGTCAGACAGACCTGAAACATCACACAGATCTGTTACTTAGTTTTGCCTTTCTCTCAGTAGGTTTATTGCCCCAGTGACTGTTAGTATATTCGGACCAGAATAAGAAAGGCCTGTGGAGCAATCTACCTCTTTGATCAAAGTCACTGCCAAACTTCAGTTTAACTGCCTATGGACATGAACAAAATGATCTTGCAACAAAAACCTTTGTAAAAGTTCACATTACTGACCCAAATTGAACAAAAAGTAATCTTTTAACTTTATGCCACTGAACTTCAACTAGCTTCATCCCAAAGAACTGAAATAGAGCAGAAATAAAACACCATATGGTAAGAGTTATGAACTGATTTATATCCCTGGTCCTCAATCTGCATTTTATAGGTGGCTGCTAAGAGCAGTCCTGAATGGTGCAAATTCCCTCTTTGTTTCCAGATGTATTTCCTGTGTTACATCAGAAAAGCCGTAGCTGCTTGTGCTGTGCATGCAAAACCTCACAAGTCTTTCCTTTGCCTGCAAACATGAGTGTGCTCCTTGAAGAAATTGCTTTGGTTTTAGGGAGGTGTAGTAAACAGCAGAATTACTTCACCTTTATTTCCAGAAGTGGAGCTCTCCTTGGGCCACAACTGCACTCTAGCAAATGACTTCTCAAAAGGAGGCAGAAGGAAGGCTTTCATCTCTTTGTCTTGCTAAATTCGTAAGAATTACAACTTGTATAGTGAATCCTTTTATAACAAGTTGCAACAACAAAGCCAAAATTCCTCCAAAATTTGGTGTTCATACCCAAATTCTGTGCAAAGAGACCCAGTTACTATAAAACACAGATCAGGAAACCCACAAGCATATAGAAAGCTATGACCAACATAGCTATTTATAGGGAAGCTCCTCAAACCTTTGCATGGAGGGTGAACCTGCCATAAACAGATCCCTAAACCGATACATTACAGCATGCTGACATTTGTCAGCAAGGTCTGGAAAAGGAAAAGGAATGTAAGGGTGCTAAAAGCCAAAGGTCAAATGGATCACTGTGCTTTGTGATTGGACTCCCCAAGTGAGTAAAATTCACCTTTCTCTGAATGTATGTGAATATGCACGATGCTCGCATGTAATCTGTGACTAGAAAATAGCAACCCATACATTCAGCAGTAAGACTTTAAAAGCAGCCTTCAGGGTAACTATTTTCATGGAGGAATGGGTTTTTCATCCACAGAAGTGTAAAATAAAACAAATCGATAAATCAAAAATGAACAAACAACCCACCCACAACTGTTGTTTGGTTTTTCTCCTCAATTCTGGTGGCCAGCACACGACAACCTATAACTAACCGCCTGACTTTCAAGAGGTCAATCTTAAACTGTTGCCTACTGGGAATGAAGGTTTTCGCAAGCACACATGGCAGGCAGCTATAAAATCATTTTAGCAAAACCCCAGGCTGAAAATCCCTTAAAACTATGTCTGGAAAGTGCACCCTAGAGATGAGGAAAAGAGCAGACAGGTCCTGAGAAGCGTGACAAGGCCCTGGCTGCATCCATGAGACCTGCTGTGCAGGCAGGGGACTGAATCTGCCTGGTAGGCGAGGCTGTCACAGACCCATCTGAACAAATTACTAGACAAGTGTGTGAAGAGGGATGCCAGAGCAGTAATCTCCTTTTCTAGATACAGTGGATAAGACTTCTAAGTAACACCTACTGGTTTTGAACAAGAGGTCTGACTAACCAAGAGAGGTGAACTTGATAGCTCTAGGAAATCTCAGCCAAAGCACAAGTCTTCTCTGAGAGTACCAGTCAGCATCCTTAGCTTGTGAAGCACCTATAATGAAATGGACTGAAGGTACAAGGACAGAGTTCTACCAGACATCACAGTATCACAGTAGGTTAGAGATTGGAAGGGACCTCAAAAGATCATCTAGTCCAATCCCCCTGCCGGAGCAGGAACACCTAATAAGGTTACACAGGAACGTGTCCAGGCGGGTTTTGAATGTCTCCAAGAAGGAGATCCACAACCCCCTGGGCAGCCTGTTCCAGTGTTCCGTCACCCTCACTGAGAAGAAGTTTCTTCTCAGGTTTAAGTGGAACCTCTTGTGCTCCAATTTGTACCCATTACCCCTTGTCCTTTCATTGTTTGCCACTGAGAAGAGCCTGGCTCCATCCTCGTGACACTCCCCCTTTATATATTTATATACACTAATAAGGTCACCCCTCAATCTCCTCTTCTCCAAACTATAGAGACCCAGCTCCCTCAGTCTTTCCTCATAAGGGAGATGCTCCACTCCCTTAATCATCTTAGTTGCCCTGCGCTGGACTCTCTCCAGCAGGTCCCTGTCCTTTTAAACTGAGGGGCCCAGAACTGGACACAATATTCCAGATGAGGTCTCACCAGGGCAGAGTAGAGGGGAAGGAGGACCTCTCTCGACCTACTAACCACCCCCCTTCTAATACACCCCAGGATGCCATTGGCCTTCTTGGCCACAAGGGCACAGTGTGGCTCATGGTCACCCTGTCGTCCACCAGGACCCCCAGGTCCCTCTCCCCTACACTGCTCTCTAACAGGTCGTTCCCCAACCTGGGGTTGTTCCTGCCCAGATGCAGGACTCTACACTTTCCCTTGTTATATTTCATCAAGTTATTCCCCGCCCACTCTCCAGCCTGTCCAGGTCCCTGATGGCAGCACAGCCTTCTGGCTGTCGCCACCTGTCATCAGCAAACTTGCTGATAGTACACTCAATTCCCTCATCTAAATCGTTGATGAATATATTAAATAATATGGTCCCAGTACCGACCCTTGAGGCACTCCACAGACAGGCCTCCAACTAGACCGCCCCAAGACACAACCTCTGGCTCTCCCTTCAGCCAGTTCACAGCCCACACAAAACCCCAAACCAAACAACCAAACCCAACAAACCACACCACCCCCCACACCACCACCACCCAAAAACACAAACAACAACCCCCAACCACCCCCCAAACCCCCCAACCAAACACCAGATGCAAGAGGAAAATAAACACAGGAACAGGTATATAAAAATAAGCAAACATCTACACTTCATACAGCAGGAAGAATTAGAACATTTGAAATAATTAATGATCTTTTCCAGACTGCACATATATGTAGTCTGTAAATCTCAGTTTTGACACTTCCTAGATTCTGCAAATGTGCATTACCATTACAAACAATAGGTTCATATATGTACCAGGAATCACATAAGCAAAACTGCATACATATTTCAAATTGTTTGACCAAAGCTAAAAGAAAGCTTCCCCATATTCCTTGTCACAACAGAACGTCCATTTATCTTCCTTTTCCCTTCTAGATTTTGAAAAATTCAATAGATGCAGGAGATACAAAAATATGTAGGTGCTAAGCTATATAGGAAATTTTTAAATGACATTTATAAATCCTTACTATTTTGTACTGATTCCCCCCTCCCCTCGCCCTGCCCCCTGTGAGCAATTTTGTTCTTAAACTGCAAATTTAACCTTAGCTTAATGAAATTATGTGGCATAAGTCACCACTGAACTACAGTATTTCCTATGCTTAAATGCCAAAAAACTAGTAAACCGATAGGCAAAAGAAAAAAAACCCTTAACACTTAATTCCAAGTAGGAAAAAAAAGCATAGCCTTAAAAACACACCTTTATTGAATGTATACGTGCAAATAAATGTATTCAATGCGACAAGTCATATGCACAGAAGAGTACAGCATTAAAATTACACAACTAACTTCTCAGCACCACAATTCCTAATTCTGTATTTAGAGCATTAGGCAAGTTTTAAAAATCAAGCATGAATTAGAGCTGCTAAAGAAGGGGACTTTGTTTTGATGTTACACAGCAGACTTCAAAGCTACAAAATTGCCAAACCAGAGATGTTTCCTCCTACTCAGTTCCATGTCTCTGTACTCTGGGAAGCTCATTTGGAGGCAGAGGGGGAGTCAAGCAGGACAGATTTCATGATCAGGCACCTGCTGAGGCCAATCACTCCCACAGCCTCCAGGAGCAAACCTCATTTCGGCCCCATCAGCTTCATGGCCGAAAGCCAAAAGCCAGCCTATGCCATCCAGAGATGTGCAGGACACTTCCTAATGAACATAAATAAAATCACCCATCTAATCTCATTTTTCAGTTTTGTTTGACACCCACCCCCCAAAAAAAAATATTTTTTGTTGTTCTTGTTTTAAACATCAGAATTCCAAACCTGCAAATATTGCCCTAAAGAACATTTTTTATGAAGACAAAACAAAAATAAAGCAGCTCTTGATCCAGGATGAACTTTAAAAGCAACGCTATATAAAGTAATCTCAGCATAGATTACTATAAGCAATCTATGCCTCAGGTTTTTAAAAGCAAGCAACCCAAGGCATACTGGAATACAACTGTTTTCTTGAGCTAAGTTTCAGACTGCTTTAATTTTGGAAGATCCTTTCCAGGAAAATCGCATGTGTGCACATACACATGTATCTATCTTTAAATCAATGTAATTCGCAACTTAATTAATTTCTAATTAAC